TTAATAAATTTATAAAATATAATTACTGGCCTCACAAAAGTGGACAGCAAGGCAGAACAGAAGAAAAAGGTGGGATACGAGGACCCCTTCCCACTGCTCTTTTCACATCTTGACTCTTTTCTGCCCTACAGTGATTTCCTGAGAGGAATAAGGGAAATTTCCATAACTTTAAGCTTGGAAGGAAATCCTTTTCCAGGCATATGCCTTCCTGAATGTACGAAGAAATCACATCTAACCAACTGATCCAGGGCAAGTTGTAGACTCTCCTAATAATGTGAATACAGAACACTGAAATTACTCTGACTAAAATAATAGTAAATGTTAACTAGTAAAGGTAACTTCTACTAATAACATTCTACCTTAAATGGAAGTATGCAAGGGCTGGAGAAGGTGGTAAAGGAAGAACTGCAAATGGCTTAGAAGAATTACCCTGAGGTCCACTGCTTATGTATTTATCTGCCAAATGACATTGTGCTGCTAAGAGTAAGAGTGCTGTACTTATTAGCTCCCCTTCAGAAATCTGTTTCATAATCTCTCCCTAAAATACAAACTCCTGAGGAGACACAAACCAGTTTTGGTTTGGGGCTAGTATAAAAGCTGAAGTAGTAATTCAGATTTTCCAATGAAAGACTCTAAGACAGCATACAGACACAGCTAGCTGTCAGCTACACATCCTACCAGTGGCTGTAAAACAATAAATGAAACTGGAGATTATACCACTAAATAATCATTTGTATAGCAATCTTGTTACCTGCAGAGTACTGAAGCACCCTTGTAGTAGAAATGTGGACCTTAATATGAAGCATCTTTGTTATCTTCTGAGTATTGTAATATTCCATTAAATACATATATTGGTTTTCTCTATATATTTAGAACGAGCAACAAGAATGCATCTTAAAACTATCTGATGCAGCCAATCAGGTAATTTTATATATACAGTAACCTAATATATTCAACTGAATTTTAATAGTCTATCAATACCAAAATATAATTTCAAAAAGCAAAATTTACAGAAATAAGAAAACATATTAAAAACTTACTGTATGCATAGGTTCTCAGAAGGAATGTATTTCTTATTCCCACAACACTGTTTACATTCAAGTCAAACTCCACACAGCTGTTGGGAAGGAGAAAACAAAAAGAATCAAATACCATGGTATTCAATTTCAGTGTATTTATTACCTGCTTAGTGATAGAGATGGAGAAATGTAACTTTAAGACAGTACTCTAGAAACTGCATTCAGAGTTTTGATGCTGTGATTTCTACTCCGTTTTTGTTTATACTACTTGAATTCAATTGTTATAAAAAATATATTTGTTGTTTTACAAAAAGAATACATGTAGATCCAAATTCAGACCTTAGAATAACTTAATATATCAAATATTATTTTGATTTTTAACAAATCTTTCTCCAAACTAGACTTGCACTACATGTTTTACTATGGACAAGTTTTGAAGCCAGAAGGTGTTAGTTTAGAAAAACATGCTGATGAACTGTGACGGAGAACTGGAAGAGGTAAAACGGTAAGAATCTCTTTACTGCAATGATTTTCAGAGATAATCAGCAAGTACTTTAAAATTAAAAATGTTTATTAGTAAACACTGCATGTTTTGTGATAAAACGGTTTTCATAACTGTTTCATGCTGTTAACAGCAAGTAAGAAAGAGGCAAACAAGCACCCTCTGCTTTATTTATATCACAATAAGTTTGAATTTCATACCACGTCTAGAGCTTAATGACTCACAATACTAAAAAAACAGGTATTACATTCATAGTCAGTAAGCTACAGCAACACCGTATCCCCCAACAAAAGCTGTCTACTATTGACAAAGAAGTAGCTATTTGCAATGTACAGCTATTTCCATTTTATATATCCAAGTCTCATTCACACAGTATCTGTTTGTTTGAATACTCCTTAAATTTTCTTGAATTATTGTAAGAGGAACATGGACCTGGGATTTATTAAACTGGATAAAACATTAATTTGATGCCCACAAAAGTTTCTTCATATTGTTAAACATAGTAAATTGTTACTTGCATCAAAAATACTATATAATTTTAAACGTGAATTAATATCAAGCATGACTTCAGATTCTTTTAAGAGCACAGTACATAACAGACCAGGAAATAAACAACCTAGAGCTACTGTTTGACATTTGTAAAAAAAAAAGCACAAACACCAGTAAGAATATTAGTTGTATGTGCAAATATAATAAAGAAATATGCCAGGCTGCATGTGTAATTCCAATTAACATAAATCGACAAGATTACTATTTACCAGATACTGATTAAGCAAGTTCCACTGCAGTTACTTTGTACTTTAATATGCACATTTAATAGATGCTACAATAATGGCAAGCAAAGATTTTGTACTGTTGGGACTCAAGTTCTACTAAAAGCACTACAGGAGAGGAAAAAAAAGTCAACTGTGCATAAAATGTAGTAGAAGAGGAAGCTTTTGCATCCTCTGTGACACAGAAATCTTGTTAATTAATAAAAGACTTGTCTGGCAGCAAAACCTGCATTCAATACGTCTTCAGGTAAATGGATCTCCCTTATGTTATAGCACTAGAAAAAGCCTTTTAAGATGAAAAAGGAAAACAAACACAAACCGAATGCTTTCTCATTCACTAAATCAACTGGGAAATGGCAATTTTCTGGTATATATGGACCACTGGCAACATATTAGATCCAGGTGCAGAGACATCATCCATTGAATTCTACCACCTTCTCCCAGCAAACAGGCATCAAAACTGGCTTTCACAGGGAGCTTGTCATGTTTTGCTTCTGGTTTTGGCTAAAACAAGCTTAGGGTACAGAATATCCAACCTATTTACAAGACCACTGTGAAAAACAGAGTAAGCGTGCATGTATGCATATAAGTCTAGGAAAGACAGAGGCCTATAAGAAATCAGGAGACTGATGCTTGCAAAAGACAAAACACAGGTGAGCTGACAGGTTAAGTTACATAAAGGTAACTGGAAAGAGGTGTGTGGGGGAACCAAACAAACCAACCCAACCCCTACACTGCCCACCCAAAAAAACCTCCAAACCAAAAAAACTCCCTTCCACACAAAAAACCCAAAAAAACTACAACTCAACCCAAAGTCATGTCATTTCCCACTGCTCCCCTCTTCCAGAAAGACATGCAGGAAACTAGATGGTGACCAGTACTGTGTTTTTTAACTTCTGAAAAAAACGTAATGGGCAGCTTCTAGTTTAAGCAGATTATACATTGATTTAGTAGGAAATAAAGAATTCTTTAAGTCCTGTCCGTAAAGTATATGAATATCATGACTGGGTTTTTTTCTTTTTTTTTTTTTTTCTTACAAGTGACCATAAGATGGACTACAAATGCACAAACACAGATTAATAAGATTGGAAGGTACCTCCGAGATCATGCAGCCCAACCCTCATGCCAAGGCAGAGCCACCTACAGCAGGTTACATAAGAACACATCCAGGCAGGTTCTGAATGCCTCCAGACAGGGAGACTCCACAGCCTCCCTGGGCAGCCTGTGCCAGTGCTCTGCCACCCTCAATGTAAAGAAGTTCTTCCTCATGCTGAGGTGAAACTTCTTGTGTTTCAGTTTATGGTCATTGCTCCTCATCCTGTTGCTGGGCACCACTGAACAGAGCCTGGCACCATCCTCCTGGCATCTGCCTTTGAGATATCTATATGCATTAGTGAGATCCCCTCGATAAGATCCTCTCTCAGTCTCCTCTCGACTAAATGGGCCCAGCTCCTAGAGTCTCTCCTCATAAGAGAGATGCTCCAGACCCCTGATCATCCTTGTGTTCCTTTGCTGGACCCTCTCCAGTAGCTCCTTGCCTTTCTTGTGCTGAGGAGCCCAGAACTGTGTACAGGACTCCGGATGTGGCCTCACCAGGATCCACACTCCTCCTGATGCCCCCCAGGTTACTATTGGCCCTCCTGGCCACAAGGACATACTGCTGGCTCATAGTCAACTTGTCATCTACCAATGCACCCGGGTCCTTCTCAGCTGAACTGCTCTCCAGTAGGTCAGCCCCAGCCTGTACTGGTCCTTGGGGTTCTTCCTCCCTAGGTGCAGTGCCCTACACCTGCCCTTGTCGAACCTCATTAGGTTTCTCTCTGCCCAGTTCTCCAGCACATCAAGGTCCTGCTGCACAGCAGCACAACCTTCAGGTGTATCACCCACTGCCCCCAGCTTCCTATCATCAGCAGAAAAAAATAATTAAAAAAAAAGTAGTACAGGGCATTGATAAACAAGTTGAGTAAGACTTGACCCAGTATTGATCCCTGGGGAACAGCACTGACTACAGGCCTCCAACTGGATTCTGTTCTGCTGATCGCAATCCTCTGAATACTGCCATTCAGCCAGCTCTCAATCCACCTCACTGTCCATTCATCTAATCCACATTTCCTAAGCTTACTATAAGGATATTATGGGAGACAGTGTCAAAAGCTTTGCTGAAGTCAAGGTGGAAAACATCCACAACTCTCCCCTCGTCGACCATCCTGCCATGTCATCATAAAAGTCTCAGACTGGACAAGCAAGATTTCCCCTTTGTGAGCCCATGCTGACTACTGCTGACAACCTTTTCTTCTACATGCTTGGTGATGACCTCCAGAATGGCCTGTTCCATCACCTTTCCAGGGACGGACATGAAGCTGACCGGCCAGTAGCTGCAAAAACCACTTCCATACATAAGGCTACTTTATGAAGTTCATTCTCCAATTTTAAATTGCTATAACCCCATGATTCTTTCAATATTTGTACCAGGAATTTACCATTTCATGTATCTAAAGACTAGCACATTACATAGTATACGAAGCCATATAACCCAAACTTTAGCTTGACAAGTTCAATACTTTCAGAAAGTGTGGAAGAAACAACATTTGTATTATTAAATGAGAAAGAAGATAAAAATTATTCAAATTTTTTAAAAATTAAGCAAGTATAAAGAAGTAAATACGGAATTAGGCGTAAATGAAAGTATAAAGAAAAATCCTAACAGGTGGTGTATAATCTCAGATGCAAGAAAATTTTAAATGGATTATATTTATTTGTTCAAATTGTGAACGTGACAGTTTCAGTTTTATCACACCGGGGTTTGTGTCCTAATACAGGTATATTGTCATAAAAGCATAGTGTGATATGCTTTTATAAAGCGAGGTCAGAAAGTGGGCTTGCTTTTTAAAGACAGAGACAGGCCTGCAACATTTTAGAAGCATACAGACAGGATGAGATAGATACAAGAGAGTTGTCTGAAGTCCTACTAACAATGAATAGTCAAACTATGTTATTACATGAAGGTGATACATGTAAGCCTTATAAAATCTAAGCCCATAAATATAGGAAGATTTAAACATTACTTGGACTTCCAACCAATTTCAGTGCTTTGCACAACTTTTGCCTCTGTCAGATACTTTAATCACATAAAATAAGAAATAAAACTGTTCTCTGTTCTAGTACATCCCTCTTGATTACTCATTTTCATGTATTTGTAATGAAGATACAGTGAATACAGTAACATACAACACCATCCACTTCTCTCAATTCCTTCTACCTCCTAAAAAGTCATAAAATACCTAACACTGAATAGAACATGCAATGCTACTTTGTTAAATGCGGAATACCTCCCTAGAAGACAGCGGAATATAATATTTTAGAATATAGTATTCTAAAACAGATTTTTTAATCAAGAAGACATAATCACAAGAAACTACAGTTTTAGTGCTGTGTGTATAGTGTAAACACTGTGAATTAGTCCTTAAGTGGCTCAACATTTACGTTTGCAAAGCAGCACAATTACCTTTCACAACAGGTTTCTTCCCACCGTTGTTTTGTCATAAACCATTTGCCAACTGGAGCCCACTGTGTACAAATAACCCACAGAAGTGTGATGTACTGCTACTAATTCACATCACAAGCTTAACAGCATCTCAACCATGAGAGGTGTTTCAGGCCATCAAGGAAGTAAGCTGACTGTCACTGCACACTAGGTATACAAATCTGCAACTCTAGGACAATACAGATAAATAAACCATGACTTCAGTAATACTTCTCACATGGACAGCACACACGCAGAGTGCTTCACCATGTCAGAATCTAAAAAACGATGTTGAACAGAATACTTGCCTGACTTTATCCCTGAACCTCACTATTGGCACTTTTGCTCGAATCAGCTGAGGTCTCTCAATGTAGGTTGCTGAAAGGGAGAAAAATATGCAATTAAGTTTCATGCAAGATGCTGATCTTAAAAAAAGATCCTGAAGTGGAGTCATACTGACTGATTTCTAGCAAATCGTAGCTTATTAAATTTAGCAAAAATATTCTCAGAAGGGTTGTGCTAAACTAAGTAAGCTTTAGCAAGGGCAGCAAAAATACAATCTAGAAAAATGTGTGTGGAAAAATAACGACTAAATATTAGAGAAAAACATCAGTGGAAGATCTTTCTGTGGGAAGTATATTCAAGAAATTTGAACATAAGGAATGCAGTCCTACAGTGCCTTCACTGAGCAATACTTGTAATAGAAATCCTGAAGAGTTGCAATTAATGTTCAAAAGGAAGGGAGCAAGAGACTTAAGCTCAGCACTACATTATAGCAATGGGCACATGATCAGCCACATAGTTTTTAATTATGCTTAGTTTGATTGCAGTTGAATTATATATTTTACTAATAATTAATATAACTTTCTTCACTATGCATTGATTATGCTTAAAATGTCATTTTAAAAACTGTTTATCTGACTGATAAAGTACATTGCAAGAAATACATACCCTATTGAATTGTAACACTTTCCAAATATAAGCTTTATCTGCCTTTCACTTAAATGGAAATAGGACATGCAATAAACATACAATCAGAGGACTGCATCTCAGGTGATTATCTACACTTTATTGACACATAGGCTCAATGCCAGACCATCCAAACCCAAACATACTAAGCTTTGCCAGATTCATACAGTTCCACCAAACACACCTTTGCACTAAGCTCCCTGAAACTGTTGTGTCAGTCATATTACCTGCAATTTCCCTACTCTTGACGATATCTCAGGGTATATTTAGCAGTTCCCCATAATCCTGTACGAGAAATGCACCCAAGAAAATAATGGAAAAGACAAAGAAAAGCAGAGCCTGTAGGTTACATATTAATTTGGTCAAAAGGCATGAACCTCAGCACAGTTGAGATACAGTTTGTAAACAAACTAAATCCAAATGGAAAGACCCATATGGCAAAACCTTTCATTTTTGAATCAGGTGAACATTTTCAAATAACTATCAGTTCTGTCCACAGAACACCTATACACAAACACATTGACAGATGGCTAGGCATACGAAGTCATGCCCATGTTAAGATTATGAAGAGATGACCCGAGAGGTTCTGGATCTACATACCAGAACCTGCAGAGTCTGACAGGAGCAGTAACATCAGCAGTGTTTTGCCCTGCCTTACTTTCTAAAAAACATTTTGATTAAATGAAGCTGACCAAAGCCACTTGCAAGATAACAGAGAATCATCAAAAAAACATCAAAAAAGCATTAGAAATGAGCAATGGCACAAACAGAAAACCTTCAGGGATCACTCACACATGAACATGTCTTTCCAATACTCATATTCCCTTGCAAACAAACTTGATTTTGTCTAAAGCCCTGTCGCAGAATACAGCTTCTTGGTAAACAAGTAAGTTTATGTAGATGTTCCCTTTTTGGTCCCTGAAAACACAACTATTTTATCACTATACTTCTCAGAAAGCACCAGAATGACTTGGATCTAGGCAAACCCAGACTAAGTTCTGGACCTCTTAATGTAAACATCAATATACAACAGTAATAAGCCATTAAGTATCAGCTACCCATTCTGTAACTGATCTGCCAAGTACCTCCAAGTGAGCTGTTGAGATCTGGGTACGCACACTTGCCACTAAAGAAATTTTGAAGTGTGCATTTAAACTTATTGTTTGTTCCTTCCTTCTACCATTGCAGAATAGTTCAGAACAGCAATATAAGGGGTGGCATCAAAGAACATACCACAAGTCTGAGAAGTAGGGGGAAGGCAGTCATTGATATCAATAAATGACAGGGTCTTTTCTAGTTCCAAAAGGATGGTACAAAAGCTGTTTTGAAGTTAATGGTATTCATGTTTAAGTCAAAACCTGCCCAAAACAAGGACTTACAACAACTACAAGTTGACCTGTTTTGCCTGTATGCACTGGTACTGTCAATATTTAATATTCTCTTCACTAGGCAGCTACATTAATTATTTCACTGATATCAAGGTCCCCTATCCCGCACTACCTCAATTCTACACAGTCTACTGTGAATGACATTTTAAAAATTCTTAAGCATTGCCTCCAGAAAGGCACTGCAATCTAAAGAAGTAGGAAGAGTTCACTGACAGAGGTCTCCCAGACAGAAATCTACTTCTCTGCTCATGTCCTCCCATCCCACCAAGGTCCACAATTCAACAGACATTTTAGATGCTATCCACTCTTGAAGTCCACTAGCTTGCAAGGCAACTATCACGGTTTTCTCATTACTACCCATCAGCACCAAGATAGGTAGCATTACTAAACATTTATAGCTTTTCTCCAAACAATACTGTGATTAGAAGCTAAGTAAGATTCAATTACATACATTAGTTACAACTGTGCATCAATATCTCTTCCAGAATTGCCAATAATCTTACCACCTCACTGTAGCCAGGAACTTACAAAGTTTAGTGCTGAAGAGTTTTTGGACTAAGCTGAGTACATTTCTTGCTTCAGTCTTCTGATTCACCTGGAATATGGTATTAAAATTAAAGAAAAAATTTGGTCTCTCTCATTTAAATGTTCCAAGTAATCACACTTTACTCTGCAAATAAAATTAATTCTCAGAGTAAGACATGAGCATGTATACCAAAACAATCCACAGTCTACATATACATTTAGTGCAGCAAACACCAGAGGAAACAATTCATATTCAATATGCAAAGCTACAATCACACATTCACAAATCACAGAACTTTATGAAAACCTAACCCCACCTACACAAAAATGTCCTTTCCTTCCTTCGCAATGATACTTCAATTGTTTCAAAATTATGTTTTATTTTGATTTCTTTTTTGTTATGTCTTTTCTCTCAACATAAATTCTACTCAAACATTTCCACTCACCAAAAATACTACAGATACTTTGTATATCAAATTCATACTCATGTCTGCTCACTAAAATTAGTGTCTATGAATCTAAATAATGAAAAAAAAAAAAAACCTTACTAAAAGTTTTTCCTGCATCTAAAATGAGGCAGCATTCTCCAAACAATTTTCTTCATGATTCTAGGCAATTTCTCTGTTTTGCTGTGCCTCATACAGAGCAAAGAGAATGCTTATTTTTTGACTCTTTTGTTGGCCTAAAGGGTTTATAGGGTTAAATTCATATCTGCAACATTATTCGGCCCACAGTTCATAGCTATTATGAATGCAAAAATGTGTAATTGAATCAAAAGGATATGAGCATTTGTTTCACATTCTAGAATCCAGCCTTATAAAAGCACATACATTTTAAAAAGATGCTATATTCATGTTTTATATTACTTACTGGTTCTTCTTTAATCACCAGGCACAAGTCACCATCACTGCTACGAGTACCAAATCCATTCAGGGAGGATCCAACCAAAAAGAGTCTGCTGTCTGTAATAGACAAATCACAGAATAAAAACTGACGTGACATATCATAGTTCAAGAAGAAGGAAGAACCGCAGACCTAAAGAACATTCAAACTGATAGTAAGTAATCAAATTCAAAACATACGTGGAAAAATTCGCTGAATTTCTCTCTGGAGTTGTGTTCTGCAGATCTCTTTTTTGTGCAAATCACAGGTCTGTTGCTGACATGCTTGAAATAACTCCAAAACTTGCTGACTTAACTAGATACACATATTCAAAAAGTAAAGATACAGAAAAATGAATATTCCTTCCTGACAGATGCAATTACATGAAAAAGGGAAGACTGCATTTTGCATGACCTATTCCATTGTCTAGTTATACTGCACTGGAATTCATATTGAACAACTCCCCAGAAGAAATTCCTGCAAAGTTTTTATACTTAAATTTCTCTAATCTGTTATAAAATGTCTAGCCACAGAAAATATTTTTTGCATTATTAACATCTGCAGCCTTTCAAGGAATAAGCAGTATCTGCTGATTTAACATCAACAGTTTGCCTACCAGCAAGGAGAAAAATAAATATTAAAACTGATTAAAGTTAGCTTTCTTTTTTTTTTTAATCCCACAGAAACTACTGAAGACATGATAGAAGTCAGATCTTTAGTGGAAGGAGGTATTAGTTGTTTCTCTTTCACAACACTTATAGGCTGTAATCAACAGGCATTTTATACTAAAAAAATCTTCTGTCATGTTGGTGCAGTTAAAGTAGAAAGACTGACGAGCCATATTTTGCTTTTTTTAAATTAAAAAACAACACAAATCACAGTAGCAGCTCCACTAAACAAGACATCCTCTTTTCTATTATAGAATAGCTAAACCAGTAACTTTTATCTCCTTCTGATGAGAGGTACAAAACATCTTTATAGGCCCAATACCCTATTTATTCAGAACAGGCTTCTCTGACATTACTAGGGTGAACTTTTTTCATCAGTATTCTCACCACCCCCAGTCAGGCGACAAATTGACCACCCCTCCAATTTCTACTTCTTGGAGCAGACGTATAGGTTTCCTGACATTAGTATTGAAACTAAACAATCCTCTACCCCCAAAAAAATGCTCCAAACCCAAGCACACAGAAAGGCTACGTAGGACCACAGTGGCAGCCACATTTACTGGTACTCCTTATTGATATTGAACCCTGACTACTCAGAAGGTAGATGTAAAGCACAGACATAGAAAGATATTACCTTATCTTTGGACACAGAGAAAGTGGTTTCTGTAGGTTCTGGAAACAAAGAATATCTAACCAGAGGTACACATCCAGTTAAATCTGGTACGTGATGTGCAAGGAACAGTGGAGATTGAACTGATCCTGGAAAGGAGTATCTACATTCTTCCGGTAAAGGCACTGCTTGTTTAACTACAGCTGTTTCAGAATGATGTAAATGCAATCGATGCCGCTTGACATCATGTGGAATACTTTGTTCGCTTAGTCTCCTAAAAAGCAAACAAACAAAACCCGAATTCAAACCAAACCAACCCCCCCAACAAAAACACAAACACAAAACAGAGAGAAAGTAATTCCTCTAGTTTGCAAGCTCCAAGTTGAGATTAAAAGACAGTTGCTACAAACTAAAAACACCACTACTTAATTACATGACTATTAAAAGCAAGTATTCTACAGAACAAAAGGCATGCCCAGCCCAGATACTAGATGAAATAAGCCTGGAATGGGAAGAAAGAACACACAACTGCAAAAGTAGGAAAGCTGGTCATATTATTTTGCTGACAACGTACATTCTTTTTTTCTTTTGGTCAAAGACACACACAGACTGTGTAAGGGTATTTTTGTTTTAAATCAATGTAATCGCAGTGAGAAGTTTTGCAAGTTCTGAATACGCAGTGATGAATAAAATAAATCCAGTTGTGGGGAGGCAAGGAAAAGAAACATCACAATAGCCATTCAAAATGTAGCATTTGTCTATTTCTTAGCTCATACAGACAGTAAACTGTGTAATCAGGGCAAAAAAGAAACACTATTAATTGACAAATCAAATTAATGACTGTATTAAGCTACACAGGTCATAAACCTTATGTCTCATTTCCAGACAGTAGTCTGTATCTCCTTATTAAGTCACTTCTCACAGGAATTCAAATACATTTGAGGAGATATACTTGAAGTGATCTTACACACATCCCTAGGCATCTGAACTCTTCATTAAGAAGTTGTACTGAAAGCTGACCAGTGTTGAATACTGTGGCCCATCCACACTAAGAATAAGAGAGGACATTCATGTTTTGTTTATACACCAGGTATCACAGCATTAACCTGTATGGGGGTACTCAGCCATTTTTCTAATTAAAAAAGCATGAAATCAAATATTCACATGTATCAATGAATTAAGTATGAAAAAAATTATGGTCATTTCCTGTAGTCAGAAAAGCCGGCATCAAAGTAGTTTGGGGACCTGGACAAATAGCATTTAACTATTTTCATCAATTTAACTGAAGAGACCTCAAGTCACCATTTCAGTTTTCAAATCTGAGACAATTTCAGATAACATTACCTACCCACAATCTTAAAAGAACTAATAATGTAACATTAAATCAAAACATAACAATGTTTCAACCTATTTTGACTGAGAAGAACTTGCATGAACTCATGTTCAGCAAAAATTCCTTAAGAAGAGTCCACTCAAGATCTAAGGATTTACTAGTTGACTGCAAATCTCCTAACACACCGCAGCTTTCCATAAAGCAAATTGGTCAAGAAGAAATCCCTACAAACACAAATCAACTGCTATTTCTGAACTGATAAGAAGCGAGTTTTCTTTTTTCTAGAATGTTAAAAGTAAAACTGCACATTCATCTGAAATTCCTCTGTGGTAACTACAGTAACAAAGGAAGGTACGTAAATTCAAGTAAGTCTAGTTTTCTGAAAAGTAGCAAAAATATGTCTCCATAAAATTCTTTTAAAAAAGAACTCACATATGCTTGAATTTAGCACTTAGTATTTGAAAAATAAAGCATCACATAATTCAGAAAGTCAGCAGAAACATCTAGTGTATTATCAGAAAAACATCACAATTCCCAGCAAATATTGAAGGTGCAGTCTTACTCTTAACTTGACAAATTAACAGGAAGAGAACACTCAATTTGCTGACACATTCAGACTATGGTCTATTATAGTATTAAAATAAAACACAAAAATCATAGTTCTTTACGTCTACAGATGCTGGAAAAGAAAAATGATACATACTAAGGCATTTAATATCAAAATTCTCAAAAGCAGGTATGTGAAGGCTTTGAAGGGCCATGACATGGCCCGTTTCATCAAAAAAATAATAGTTCAGTATTGTAATTTCTAACAACATGCAAGCTGCACAAGAAATTGATATGAGATGGGCTTCACCATGGGTACATCACAACTGGAATTAATCACACACACAAAGAACTTACTTTCTTCCTCGGAATGACATGGGGGCATCAGACACACGTACTGGACTGTCACTTACGTAGGTCACTGGCTGTAGTGTAACCTCTCGAGGACTTGCAACGTTACCACTCAAAACAGCCCTGGGAAAAGCACAGTCAGTAACAATTATTCATATGATAACTAAGGTGCTTCTTATGGGTTGGTAGTTTTTCTCAAGTGAATATTAAACTCAGCAAGTCCTGCTATACTTTTTTTTCAAAGGAAGCAGAACATCTGTCTTTTCTATTCAAACTGAAGAGACATTTCAGGATAGAATCAGAATCATAGAATAGTTAAGATTGGAAAGG